TGTGTGTGTGTGTGTGTGTGTGTGTGTGTGTGTGTGTGTGTGTGTGTTGTATTGCTCATGATGTGGAGGCTTTACACAATCACACTTTAGAGGTCAACATAATTTGAAAAGCATGCATTTCTTTTAAGGTTGTATTTTTTGGTGTCTGTTTTCTGTTGTAGATGGTCTTTCGGTGATGGTGGATATGAAGAGTATGAGTTCAAGCCTCCTTATTCTCAGTTCCCCCTCTGTCCAGACTCTCCGAATCAAGTTCTCCTGAGTAAAACCATCATCTATAACTACTCCCAGCCAGGTAATCCCTCACTCCTGTCCCAATCAGAAAAACAAGCACAAAAAATGTGAAAAATCCAGTGAAAACTTGAGAGGTCAACCTTTTCTTGTCCCCTGTCGCAGAGTGAAAAGGTGGAAAGGAAATACTCTCCCTCTCTTTGTATGTGAATGTTGTTAATGCAATGACAAAAATAAGTCCATTACCAACTTCCATTTTTGTGTGTGGGTGCATCTAAGCGTAAGAAATGTTCCTTTCAGTAATTGGATTACCAGATCCAAATCCAAGATGGCTGCTGCCATTTATATATGTAAATATGTATATATACGTTGTGGTCTCACAACACTGATGCACTTTACAGGAAGGGTCAGAGCAGACTCTACCTGCTGAGGAGACTGAGGTCTTTTGGAGTGCAGGGGGTGCTCCTGAACACCTTCTTTGACTCGGTAGTGGCATCAGCCATCTTTTATGGTGTTGTCTGTTGGAGCAGCAGCTTAAGAAGCAGCTAGATAAGCTCATCAAGAAGGCCAGCTCTGTGCTTGGATGCCCCCTCGACCCAGTGCAGGTGGTGGGAGACAGAAGGACTCTAGCTAAAATAACATAATTGCTGGACAACGTCTCCCACCCCATGCATGAAGCTGTTGCTGAACTGGAGAGCTCGTTCAGTGACAGATTACTGCATCCTAAATGCACAAAGGAGCGTTACCACAGGTCCTTCCTCCCAGCAGCTGTTAGACTCTACAACCATCACTGCTCCCAACAAACTCAATAAGGATTAAATACATGCTGACCTCTGCTAAAACACGCACTCTGCCTGTAATACTGTATGTAAATAGTCTGTCCTTTATCAATGTTCCAACACATATTGAACATTATTATTAATATTGTTTATCTTATTTCTTTATATATATATTTTAACATTTAGGAACTTTTGTGTGATTTATTTTTTATTTTTTTACCTGTTGCTGCTGTTACACTTGAATTTCCCATCCGTGGGACAATAAAGGCCGTTTCTATTCTATTCTTCTATTTCTATTCTAAACTGGCCACCGCTATCATTTGAGGAAACTATGTATTCTAGTATTTATATTGCTTAAAATTATAGTTTCTTCAAACGAGTGGGTTGGCTGGTTGGGTGGCTGAAGATTAATGTATGGCAGCCAAGGCCACCATTGGCCACCACCTTGCTCCGCCAGTGCACCTGGTGGTGGATAAAATTGCTCCCTCCACTCACCAGGATTGGTCACTGTGCCGCCTTAGACAAGAAAACAGAAAACCTACCTCTCTTTTTGTACACAGTGTAACTCCTACCCACTTGAACATGTTGCAATATGATGGACGGACTCAACACAATTTGACTAAAATAGCCTAATTTCTCCTGTTTCCTAAAGACATGAGTTTCAGACACTTCTTGTGTTGCAGACAGGTCTTTTTTATTTATTTACTTATTTTTAAGGCCTTATTGATTTTTTTTTTTATAGCTCCACTCGTTCACTTTCCTTACTTTTTAGAGACATTTTACACTATGTCTAACAAAGTTAAGTCAAGTCCTCTAGATAGATTCAAAAAGAATAAAATTAAAAATAAAATAAAAAAACGTCCAGAGTGTCGGACTTAATTTTGTTAGATTTTTCTACCTGGATTATTGAGCATGCATCAGGATATTTTACAATATGCTAGAAACTGGACTGAAAACGAGACAAAAATCTGCCAAAATCTGAAGCAAATGAACTAAAAGATCGTCAGAAAGCCTGGAGAACTGTTGATTAAGTCCACATTAATAGATAACAAAAAGTCAGACTCCTTGGAAAAAAAAAAACAAATTGAAGTAGGAAAGGTTTAAAACTTTTGCCCAGAGCTGTATGTTTAAATGTAAGACTGTAGGAAAGATGGAACATATCAATTTAGTTTCTGAACTGATGGATCCAAGTTTTACCTGGGACAGGTGTGTTACCTGCTTTATTTTAGTAGAAGCCTATTTTATTTCCTGTACATTTATAGTGTTTAAAGCGTGATCTGTTGTAACCCATTTTCCTGTTGTTTCCCTGTCTTTTTGTACAGGAATATACACAGCGCTGGTGTCGGTGTCCAACCGTTTCGAGAACATCAGTCAGAGCATCAACATGAGTGTTTACAGCATCCTCACACGTGTCAACATACAAACTGAACAACAGCTCCTCCTGGCAAGAAAATCAGCTGGTTTTGAGGCGCACCCTCTGCCTTCGGCATATGGCATTCACTTTGACTGGAACTTTGGAGATGGCACCCCTCTCCAACACGGTCGCCGCGTGGCGCACACCTTTCCACAATATGGCAGCTTTAACGTCTGTGTGTCAGTAAACAACACCATCAGTTTTACTTCGACTTGTGCCGAGATGTTTGTGTATGAAGAGATTGAAGACCTGACGGCTCACAGCTCCTCTCCCACAGAGTTGCACAGTTCCACTACAGTGCAGGCGCACCTTGGTTCTGGTAATGATATCAAATGGACATTCTCAATGGGCGATGAAAACATTTATTTTCCAACTGAACCTCATGTGTCACACAAATACAACAAAGAAGGCAACTACACCGTAAACGTGACTGCCATGAATGCTGTGAGCTCTGGCTGGACGATCCTTTCTGTTCACGTCTATGTCTTTCAAGTTGTAAAGATTGAGCCATCAGGATGTGTCCAAGAGCGCACCAATGTCAACTTTCAGGCCTGGGTGTCTGGTAATGCATCGCTTCCTCTTTATCAATGGAGCTTTGGGGATGGAAGCCCCAATGACACACACAAAGGTAACCCGAGAGTCTCACACAGCTACAGGACAAGTGGGATGTACCATCTCTCTCTGCACTTGTCCAGTGGCGTCAACGAGGCTACAAAAGCAAATTTCTTCAAACTGGTATGTGTGCAGCCAGCTTTGTCCAATATCAGCTTCATTCCTGAGAAGTCTCGCTATGCAGTCGGAGAGGAAATACAGTTCAAAGTCAGAACTGAACCTGAATTTAACCTCAGCTATCAATGGGACTTTGGTAGGGAGGAAGACCTGACGCCAGTGCACCGTTCTGGAAACATTGTCACAATATATAAAAAACCTGGTCGCTATATAGTGACAGTGCACGTTTTCAATAACATATCTGCCAACAGCAAAAGTGCAGTAATTGATGTTCTGATGCCCGTTGGACCAATTATAATTCATCATAATAGCACAAAGTACAACATTCTGACACTAGGAGCCCCATACACTTTCATGACGTCTTCTTTGGCGTCCGATGCCACTTACGCCTGGAATTTTGGAGATGGAAAAATACTCACAGGCCAGAACGTCCTCCATACTTACATCTTCTCTGGAAAGTACAATATCACACTGAAAGCATCTAACACCGTCAGTCAGAACAGCACTGTTTTACAGGTTACTGTGCTTGCACCGATTCGAGGACTGAAAATCAACGCCAGCTTCATAAATGTCCGTCTGAATGCTTCAGTGCATTTTGAGGCCCACAAAGATGAGAGTGACGATGATGTCCGGTACTCTTGGATACTGTGCGACCGTTGCACCTCCATCCCAGGGACCAACAACACCATGTTCTACACCTTTCGCTCTGTTGGCACCTTCAATATCAGTGTGACAGCAGAGAATGATATTGAGACAGCACAGGCAAGCATCATCTTGTTTGTTCAACGTGAGTTGGAGGGTTTGCAGATATTAGCCGAGGACATCAAAGGAGGTGGGAGCGCAGGGTTGAATAGCTGCTTTTATGCTACAAACAAAGTTCTTCATCTTCAAGCAGGACTGAAGGAGGGTACCAACATGACTTTTGCATGGAACGTCATCAGAAAGTTGGACCCCGACAGCTCATTCAATGCAAGTGGGAAAACTGTGGAGCTTAATTTTTCCAAGCCAGGTCCATGTGAGATCTTTCTGCAAGCAGCGAATCGCCTCGGCCAGCTGTCAGTCAACAAAACCATCTCTTTTGTCGAACCAGCTGGAGGAGTGACTCTGCTGATCAGCAATGACCGAGTAGCTGTTGGCGTTTCAACGAACATGACTGTGCAGGTTTTGGAAGGTTCAGATCTGCAGTATCGGTGGCTCGTGAATGGGAACCGTCTAAAGTGGAGCGGGCCCTGGTTGGAACACTCCTTCACCAGTCCAGGTCTAAAACAAGTGTCTGTGGAGGTCTCCAATGACATTAGCTCAGAGGTTGCATCAAAAAGTATTCATGTTCTGGAAGTCATTTCTGGGTTAAGTTTCTCAGCTACCCACGTGGATGAGCAGAGTTTCGTAGCAACGGGAGTCGGCATCACTCTGCAGGGGAATGTGAAAACAGGAACCGATGTGACGTGGATGTGGCTGCTGGAAGGAAGAACTCAAGCAGGAAGGCAAACCTCTGTGATTTTCTCAGAGCCAAAGACGGCCATCATTACGTTGAATGCCACTAATGACGTTAGTGGAGAAGTGGTTTCCAGGGAGTTCTTTGTTCAGGACAAAATTCAGGGGTTGGATCTGAGGGCGAGCAAGACATTTGCAGCTGTCAACGAAAAGGTGGAGTTCACTATTCTGGTGACAGGGGGTACAGACGTTAATCTGATCCTCAGCATCAGTGGGGACGCAACAGTTTTCCCTCAGCCTAACCAAACCTACACTCACGTCTTCAGCAGGGTGGATACCTACATGGTGAACCTCACCGCTCACAACCAGGTAACGTGAACAAAGACCGATGTATTCACTTTATTTAACCAGGAAAATCCCATTGAGATCACAAACTCTTTTTCAAGGGAGGCCTGCGCCCAAAGGCAGCCTAACATGCATGTTTTTTGGATTAGATCACAGATTAGATTACAGTAAATCTGTTTTTTTCCATTGACGTTAAATCTTTACGTTTAGCAAACATAAAAATTGATATAATTCTGTCAACTATAAACGCTTGAAACAAAAATTTTGTGAAGTAGTAACTAAGGCGCATTCAGAGCACATGTTCTGAACATTTAACAATTATGCAGGATTGTGCAACATTTTGGCATTACTTTTGTAGTCAACATTGTTTGTGTTTAACAGACACTTGTAAACCAGGGAATGGATTTTAATGAAACTCTCAAAATAGACTTATTTCCATTTTTCCCCATAGGAAAATTATAACTCAATAAGTGGCAACATGACATTCTCTTAGAAGCAATAAAACAGAATAAAAGTCTTTTATCTCCGTAGAAACACAATAGGACAAGAAACTAAAAGCTACAAGCACAGTTGTGTTCCCGATATAATAAAACATGAAGAAAACACAAGACAACAGCTACCGCTCTCTACAACTCGTAACTTCAGCGCACGTTCCAAGTATTTCACAGAGGCCATCCATGTTGAGTAATCACAGTATTACAATAATTACATATAATTAAAAGATATACCTGGTATATCAAAAAGGATTGGGAGGTGTTCTTGCTCAGGCATGATGAGCAGAAAAGTGAAGGTAGTAAAACTATTTATTTTTTTTAAATACACTGCCTGGCCAAAAAAAAAAAAGTCGCCACCAAAAAAAAAAGGTCACACACTAATATTTCATTGGACCGCCTTTAGCTTTGAAGTTTTGATCACAGCATGCATTTGCTGTGGCATTGTTTCAATAAGCTTCTGCAATGTCACAAGATCTATTTCCATCCAGTGTTACATTAATTTTTCACCAAGATCTTGCATTGATGACTAGACATTAGGCATGATGGGTGCTTCACTTCACCTGCCTCTCTTCTTACACCCATCACTCTGGAACAGGGTAAATCTGGACTCATCAGACCACATGACCTTCTTCCATTGCTCCAGAGTCCAATCTTTATGCTCCCTAGCAAATTGAAGCCTTTTTTTCCCAGTTAGCTTCACTGATTATTGGTTTTCTTAAGGCTACACAGCTGTTCAGTCCCAATCCCTTGAGTTCCCTTCACATTGTGCGTGTGGAAATGCTCTTTCACTATTAAACATAGCCCTTAAGTGCTACTGTTGTTTTTCTTCGATTTGATTTCACCAAACGTTTACGTGATCACAGATCACGATAATGCAGGATTTTTTTTCCGGCCACGTTTCTTCCTCGAAGACGATGGGTCCCCACTATCCTTCCAGTTTTAATAATGTGTTGGACAGTTCTTAACCCAATTTTAGTAGTTTCTGCAATCTGCTTAGATGTTTTCTCTTATTGATGCCAATGATTTGACCCTTCTCAAACAGTCTGACATCTTTTCCACGACCACATGATGTGTCTTTCAACATGGTTGTTTAAGAAATGAGAAGCAACTCATTGCACCAGTTGGGGTTAAATAACTTGTTGCCAGCTGAAAGATAATCGCCCATGCAATAATTATCCAACAGGAGGCTCGTACCCGTTTGCTTAGCTAAATCAAGGTGGAGACTTTTTTTTTTGGCCTGGCAGTGTATTTGTTTAAGAAACTAATTGTTGTTTGTATAAAGCAGGGGTCTGCAGCCTTTACAATCAAAAAAGCCTTTTCTGCTCCATCATTCACTAAATTAAACGTGTCCGGAGCCACCAAACCTGCTACAACTGACTCAACTGGTGGCCCGCAGACTATTTTACATTTGTTGGAGGGTGCATTTCTGGCCAGTAGGGGTGACATTATAGAGCTGAAAATGTTGGCGCAACGGTTAGAGAAGCAAAGTCGCCGGTTCGACTCCCCGGATCGACAACATCAAAATGTGGGTGGGAAAGGTGAAACACCCACACCTGCCTCTGGGCCCTTGTGCAAGGCCCTTAACCCCCACTGCTTCCCCCGGGCACCCTAGATGGCAGCTCTCTGCTCCACACAGAGGGCTGTGGTAGCTCGGTGGTCTGTGGTTGTCAGGAAGAGCATCCGGCGTATAAACAATAGCCAAGTCTTCGAGTGAGTGACTGTGGCGACCCCTGAAGAAGGGAGCAGCAGAAAGGAGAAGAAAAAAATTATACAAAATAAGATGAGATTCTTGTTAAAGAAAAGAAAAAGATATTGTTTTGGCCAATTAAAAAATAAAATTAAATAAAGCAATGAACTATGTAGGCCTTTATTGTTTTGTTTTTTAATTGTGGAAAAAATTAACATGTTTTACTCCTTGTCATAGTTGTAATATTCACATATTTGCAAAAGAAATGACTGGAAAACTGCTAAAATTAGGTATTTTTGTTAAAGGAATAAAATTAGGTATTTTTGTTAAAGGAATAAAATTTATTTGTTAGCTTTGGTTCAAGCTTGAAAGAGCCGCTGCAGAGGGACCAACGAGCTGCATGTGTCTCCAGGGCCACAGGTGTCAGACGCCTGGTATAAAGGACTGCTTGTCTTACTTATGGGGCTGAGGATTGATGCTGCATACCTAAGAGTAAAAGTTAGAAGGTAGTAAAAATGTTTAAAAAAAAAAACTGCTTTATGGATTGTAGTCTTTAAATGGGTTCTAGATTATTCAGCCTGAGAAAGTAATTAAAGTAATTCCTCAGAAAGTAAGAATGGATATACATCTTCAGCCTACCAGCTTTTGGAATCAGTCCACTTTAAAATGGCAGCAGCAGCTACAAATTACCTTAGCTAACAAAAAAAATGACTACAACTCAAGTCTGTTTCATAGATAATGAAATAAAAATTGGTGTGGTATTAACTGAGTCAGTTTATTGAATTTTAGAGGAACAATTTGTTTTTGGTTATTCTCATCTGCAAACTGAAATTGCATTTGTTAATGTGAGAGAACAATGAGCATCATTAATGAGCAAAGGTCAGACACACAAACTTGTGGTTTTTCATTGATAAATGGGTTTGGAAACGTTTGATCAAAATTGGGATCGGAGCCGGCAGCATGTGATTATTTCAGTAATTTCCTGTACAGACTGAAAGCTGCTGCTTTTAAACAGAGTTTTGCTTCTGTTTCCTGCTGCTGCTTCACTCTGCTCGTCCAGTTTATATTCAATGAGCTCCTTCACTTTAACAGCTCCACCTGAGATCACACACCTGAATCTCACACTGAGCTGGGAGGAAGGAAAGCAGCTCAGATTGTTAAACCTTCAGTGCACGCTGCACTAACATGAAAAACAAATGATTATTGAATACAGTAGTCCCTCGTTTATCACGGGGGATTCGTACCCTGAAGCCCCACGATAAGTGATAAACTGCGAAGTAGGGATAGTAGTACAATTACTAGTTTATTTTTGCATATATATATATATATATATATATATAAAGGTGTTTTAAACCCTTCCCACACTCTTGCAATATTCTAAACAATGTTTCTAAACTCTAAAGCTCTAAAACAACACAGAATGTCATGATTTCAGCTCTCTGCCTCTGCTACTCTTTGCCACCTGCAAGCGCTCTTGGCCACGCCCACTTCTCCGCTCTGCACAGAGATCAGCTGATCAGCTGCAGCAGGAAGTTTATCCTGCAGTGTGGGCTGCACAAATGTGCAGCAGGTGCAACATAATTTTAAATAATTTATTTTAAATGAAAATAAATTCCATGCTCATCCATCAATCAGCCAGTTGTGTGTCATGTCCAGTCTTTTTTTTTAAACTGTGATGGAGCGAGTCTGCGATAAACGAACCGTGTCGTAGCAAGGGGCTACTGTAATGTGAAACCTATTGCTTTTTCATTTGTGCAGTTCAACTTGTTATAAAATATATGTCTCTAATAGATGCACATTTATTAAAATGACTGTCCAGGTGAATTCCAAAAGTCGACAGCTCCAGGTGGAGGTGATGGAGCCGGTGAGTGGACTTTCCATCCAGGGAATCAGCCCAGTGATCCCTGTGGGAGTAACAAGATCATTTTTGGCCAAAGTCCTGACAGGCAAACCTGTTAGTTTCCTGTGGACCTTTGATCTCCACCACAACCACCACAAGAAATCAGCCGTGGCTAAAGAGGTCTGGTTCCTTATTATCTCACCATCTTGAGATGCATATCACCGTGACCGTATTACTGATCTGAACGTTGCATCCTCTCTCCTCAGGTGCCTTATACTCCAGATGAACCAGGCTTGTTGATCATCTATCTGAAGGCTTTCAACAACATACACAGTCAGAACATCACCAAACGCATACTGGTGCAGAACCTTCTGAGGTCTGCCAGCTTATATGCAGTTCCACAAGACACTTTCATCAACAAGATGGTCACTCTGATGGCGTCTGTCACGCCCAAATCGAATCCTGTGGAGTGCCTGTGGGACTTCGGTGATGGCACGACACCGCTTCTCACCAACACCACCACCGCTGGTCACACGTACCGACACCCAGGACACTATCTGGTTCAAGTACGCGCATTTTTATGTCTAAATCAACTTCCTGATATAATAAATGGGTTAATTTGACTGATGCTGATCTTTTCAGGTAAACTGCAGTAACCTGGTGAGCTGGGTTTTGTCTCAGGTGGAGGTAAACATCCGCGTTTTAGAGTGTGATGAGCCGGAAGTACACGTGGTTCAGAACCGCCTGGTCATCTGGCGCTCCCAGTCCACTTTGGTGGAGGCCAGCGTGGATCTGAAAGGCTGTATACGCTACGGAGCTCAGTACCTCTGGCAGATATTCTCAGCATCCTCCTGTAGTGAAGACATCATGAGAGACGGTGCTTTGCTCCCTGGATCGGAGCCGTCTCAGTTCTCTCCTGGCAGAGCAGTTCGTCTGCTGGCAGACGTGGATGTGCGGCGGCTGCAGCTGCTGTTACCAAAGATGGCTTTGGCAGCGGGGAACTACAGCTTAGTGTTTTCTCTGTCCTACGAAGGTGTTCCGCTGAGAAAGGCTGCCTGTCTGCACCTCAGCGTCATGGCTGCAAAGTAAGTTCATTACAAAATAAGCTTTTTCTTGACTCTTTTCAAAAACGATTTACCCCCTGCATATCTTTTTAAACCAGTTTTTCAGATAATTTTAAACAGAGTTCTGGGCAAGAGTGTGAAACATCTATTTTCGTACTTGTTGTAGCTCTTTGAGTGACTTCAACTGTAGAAATAGAGTTCAGTTTTCATTGAATGAATGACTAGTCCAAGTTTGGCCATGACTACAGTGGATTGCTGTTGTCCTCAACTACTACACTTTAAAACATTTCATTGAGTACTTATTCAAACCCTATTTTATAAATCTTTACGTTGGTGAAATTTTGCATTATGAAGTTAAAAAAAAAAAAAAAATTCTATAATTATTTGTGAGCACAAATTGCATCAGCTGCATTCTCAGTGTAGTCTGGGGTATTTATGACAGGAATTTCATAATACCGTAATTTCCAGATTATTGAACGCAGCATGTAAGCTGTACCCACTAAATAAATAAAAAACTAAAAATTGTACATATATAGGCCACGCTTGTGTATAAGCCGAAGGTGTTTATGTTGTAACATGAAGATATTTACGCAGAAAGATTGTTTTAAAACATTTAATTAAATATGTACCAGTAACATACACAAATAGGTACGGTCATTTTTTTTTTCCCTGAACAGTGCCTGTAACACGGCTGATTAAAAAAAATACTGTAGCCTACCAGGAAAAGTCATTGATTGCTAACTTCATCTTTCTCCTGTGCACTAAAACCACTTAGTCTTCTTCAGTGTCAGAATTGAACAACCTCAGTAAAACTTCATCGCGCACGTCCTCGGTCTCTTTCGTTGTCGCTCTCGCCGTCACTTTCGTCTCGAGTCAAATTCACAATTTGATTTGATTTACGATTCACACTTTTTTTGAGTGGCTGCAAATACTTTGTTGTGTACAACGAGGAGGGAAACTCCAGCGGGGAAACTCCTGCATGGAGCGGAAGGGGAGGAGAGAAAGGAGAGTGGGGGAATTAAATTTCCCCTCCTCCACAGTGGACCAATGAAACCAAGTTTCACTGGTCCACTGTGACCTGTTCAGTAATTTCATTGGTCAGGTTTTTTTTTTGTTGTTTTTTTTTTACCTTTATTTATACAGGTAGTCTCTTTGAGACACCCCCCCCCCCCCCCCCCCCCACACACACACACACACCCAAGTGTGACGTGTATTGGGCAGCCATGTAAGTGAATTAGCCGCATCATTGTATAAGCCGCGGTGTTCAAAGCATGTGAAAGTAGTGGCTTATAGTCCAGAAATTACGGTAGTTCTATCAGAATAATGCTAAAGTCACGCAGGTTCATAACATAGATTTTACCTGAAACAATATGCATCTTGCAGTGTTTCCCCTACCATTATCCAAAGAAACTGACTGCCCTGCCGTAAATATCACGGCATGTAAAACATTAATAAACTATCAAACAGGCTCACATGTGATCAATTCTGTGCAGTGGGGGGAGTCACCAAAATGTTATTTTCTCCCCTTCTTCACCCCTCCTCCCACAACGTGCCAGGACCCCCGGAAAACTCGACTTCGTATTAAATGTTGATGCTTTGGGGCTAACATTATTAGCATATAAATATTTCAGACTTGCGCACGTGATCAAACTCTCGCTAGCATAGGGCACCTCTGTGGGAGCGCGCAGCCTGTTTGAGTCACTTTCTACGGTAAACTCACTTTGCAAATTTAGTTCTTGGAATCAAACTACCGGTATATTAACACTAAAATAAATGTATTTGTTTACCCAGGATTAATGTAAAAGTGTATCTCCATTTTATAATAATAATATTTACAATAATTATTATTTACTTTTCAAAAATCCTCAGTGTTCTCTCTGTGAGAGTGTTGGTTTTAAGTGTTTGTTGTTTGCCATAAATTTCATTCATTCATTCATTCATTCATTCAAGTTTATTTGAACAAGGACAGCATATTAAACAATGTTATATGTAAAAACAAAGCAACCATTGTTTTGTACGAAGGTTTTCTAGCAACAGCTAGAAATAAATGATGAAATATGAAAAATAGATTGTTTTAAATGACTTAAAGAGCTGAAATCGTTAAAATATAATGGCTTTGAGTGAAATAGTCATTTTAAGGCAGAAATCCATCAGTCTGGCAAATATGAATGACAATTGCTGTTATTTTGACCTGTGCAGAGGAATATCAGTTATATAAAGGTTAAAACATCCACTCTGTGTTAACTTGCAAAATATAATATATTTTTTTACTGTAATCACATTTTGACTTGTGAACATCACACTGAGGGTTGTTACGTTTAAAAATTCCAGTGTGTTTTTTCTTGTCGCTAAAAATACTTGATCATTAAAAACCTCAAGAGTGGATACAGTACAGACAAACAGTCTCAACAGGATCAAAAACTGCCTTTTTTATATATTTGATCATTTATTGACATAGATTTATCCAAAAATGTCATAACTCACATTTATAACGAAGCTTTGAAAAAGTTAAGTTGAGCACAGGAAGCTTTTCCCCAACAAAACAGGAAAAATATTAAATAAATAAAACCCAGACCGATTATTTTACCCTGATGTCGTAGCCAAACCACATCAATAAAACATGACTAAATTAACTGCCTTTTTTTTTTCAATTATAACCTAAAGTGACATGGAATAATAAAATTGATTAATGAAGTGCTATTCTAAAATGTAAACTGAAACTCTGAATAAAAAGGTTAAATTCCTCGTGACATCCGAGGAAAAGATCAGGATCAGAATAACCGATTTAGAGCCACTATCGCACTGCTTACTGACGTTTGTACATCGTTACTGCAGCATAAATTAAAGTGAACTTAAATATGTTCTGTTTTGTGTCAGACTGAAGCCCATCATTGAGGGAGGGACTCACCGGGTGTGGTCGAGGACGCAGGACTTGCAGCTCAGTGCGGAGCAGTCCTACGACCCCAACATGGACCCAGACAGTCAGTCTCTGCTTCATTACCACTGGGAGTGCCAAAGTACTTCTAAGGTAAAGACAGGTGGCAACAAGCTGCTTTGGTTGGTCTCTTCTGACCTGCAGGTGGATCATTAACACAAAATGAAGATAAATAGTTCTTAAGGCTATTTGTTTGTGAATTTAGCTCTTACTAAATCCTTGTAAATAAAACCATGGCATATTAAGTTAACTTAGGACAAACGTGTCACCACTAGGGATGCACGATATTGGATTTTTGTCCATATACCGATATGTTAAAACTTATTTGGCCGATGATCGATACCGATATTTTTTATATACTTTCCTTTGTCAGAACATGGTCTTCTTATTTAGGCTTATTTGTTACAAAAATTGTGTAACAGCTGTAAGAGCTGGTGACATATATTCAGTAACAGCTATATGATATGCATAGCACTTTAACTTATATTAAATGAAAAGTGTTAAATGTTATTTATTAGCATTAGTCACCTGCGATGCTGTCTCACTTATGGAGGCTTGTTCCAGGTTCCTATAGCTGCAGTGTGGGATCCTCTGCACTCCTGTGCATGAAGGACAGCCTTTTTAAGCTCAAAGTTTTTGTCTATCCATTGGGCCGTAAGACTAATCATGCTAACGGGGCTAACACGACGTCCAAATGTCTGTGGTAAAACTCACCCCAGTGCTATTGAGTATTAGCTTCTCAATGATGTTGGAAATGACGGCTTGTAACTCGGGTAAAGCTACGCTGGAAAAATATCTCAGACTGGGGACGATGTAGCGAGGCTCAACGTAGACCAGAAATCTTCAGAATCCAACATCCTCAACAAAAATAAACTTCCACACCGCCGACATTTTGACTTCTTCCCCTCCGCCGTGATCAGATCAGGTAGGCGCACGTGACGTCATCACGTTGTGCTGCCTCTGCAGGCATCCTTGTCATTGGGTTGTCATTAAAAAACAGTGTCTTTTATATCGGTGAGTTATTTTGATGGAATGGCCGATGTTTGATATTGAACTTTAACGCTAATATCGGCTGATACCATGCCGATAATATCGTGCATCCCTATAGTCACCACTCAGTTAGTGGTTAACTTGACAAATTTCTCATCTGTCCAGTCTTTACTCCTTTTTAACTCAGCCGGAGGCAACTTAAGGCCAAAAGTGGCCCTTCGACAATCTCCATCAGGTCCCCCAATATCCTTATTATAAAAAAACACACACCAATTTATCAATGAGACTTAAAGAATTTTAAATTAAACATCGTACGCAGAACTTTTTTTTAAACATTTTTGTCATTGTGTTTCCAGATCTAGACAGAACCTTAAAGACTCAGAAACACAAATATATGTTTGCTTTGCATATTTCCGCTAACCTGTACAGCATGTTTAGCTAACGTGTATAATATAATGTCACAAGAGCCAGTTTACAGAATGTCTTATACTCCTAAAGGATATTGGACAGACGTGTTTTTAAAAAGCATTCTACAACAAGAAAAAGCTTGAACAAGGTTTTCTAGATAATTTGTCATAACGAAAATGTATTTTCCACTTCTCTGTACAGCTCTTTGATTGCTTTAAACATCTTGATGTGGCCCTTTGGAAAAAAATAAAGTTACCCACCTCTGGTTTAACTGAATTATCTGTTTGACTCGAATAAACCAAAATCAATTAACTTGTCAAACAAGTATTCATTTTTTTCATGATTATTTAGAGGAATTTGTGGAAACAAATAGCTCGGCAGTGTTTATGTGGCACAAGTAAAATTTCAGAACTGTCTCTTAAACGTTGACTGTAAAAGGGCGTGTGTTGATTTATGAATTTTCCACACGCTGCTGTATCAGTGGCTGCAACACATTCTGTTGGAGCATCAAAAGACCAAAACGTCAGTCCTAATGTGAAGGCTGTGTCCATGTTTGAGATGTTCACACAAGAACCTGAACATTTTCAGAAGCACATCATCTTTGGTTGAGAAACCTTTTTGAAGTGAAGGTCAAGGTCAAGTTTAAATGAAATAGGGAAATGTTTAATCGATGAAAGTGCTCAAAGTGGATTGATGTGTTGCAGTCCGAGCAGGCATTTAAAGGGTTATATTGTCTGTTGGAGATAAACTCAGCATTCCACAGCGAGAGTTTAGCTCCCCACCCTGACAATTACAGAGTCCACTTCAACTGTATCACACATCCGCACATAGATGCAAACACGCAACTGACAGCGCAGCTGATTAAAAGAAAGAAAATACAGTTTGAAATCAAAAAGTGAATAGGCTTCCCTTTTTGGCAGAAATAGTACAGCACAAACATTTTAAATCACTTGGTAATTTCTTTATAAGGTAGTTTGCATCCAAGCAGCCAGACTTTCTCGTAATCTTTTTACGTTACCTGACAGACAATGATTCCTCAGGCTTTCTGGTTCTCTTTAAATCTTTTCTTTACATTTTAGCTGCTTTTTTGCTCACTTTCTGTCCATTCCTTGCACCTGACCATGACGGCAACAACAGTACTGCCTGATGCCTAACATCCGTTCATGTTCCAACAATGTTCAGTCAGGTCATCTGGGCAGTTTATTTTTTATTTTTATTGACAGATGTTTCGCCCTACATCCAAAGGGCTTCATCAGTCTGAGGAGTCACAAACAAACTGTTCCCCCCCCCCCCCAAGCAGTTCACTCCTACAGTGGACCAACCAGTTTACTGGTGATAAGATGGTTTCATGGGGCTGTCCTCTCCCCTGTCGACTCCTCTCAGGCAGGCAGCCATAGTGGTTCAAGACATCAAAGTTCATGCTCAATAATCCAGGTACAAAAAAATCCAACATTCAGTCAGGTCATCTGGACAGTTACCTTTTTTTTGAGAGACGTTTCGCCCTCCATCCGAAGGGCTTCATCAATCGGGACTTATCACCAGCAAACTGGTTGGTCCACTGTAGGAGTGTACTGCTTAGTGGGGCAAGCGATTTGTTTGTGACTCCTCACACTGATGAAACCCTTCAGATGGAGGGTGAAACGTCTCAACAAAACAAAAAAATAGAACGAAATTGTCGAGATGAGCTGACTGAACATTGTTGGATTTTTTACCTGGATTA